GATCTAATTACGGTTTCGCCTAGGAAAGAGCATATTTTTCTCTAATAAAATTTCTCGAATAGTCAAGGCCAGTAGACGAAAATAAACATACTGTTTAATAAATAAACGGAGCGTCTACTCAAATATGAGTATCCACTAAAAATAACGTTTAAATAATTATATATATATATATATATATATATATATATATATATATATATATTAAACGTTATATATCCCATTGGAAGAACAAGAGGAAAAAGACAGAGAGTCAGAAAAAGAAATATACGGAGAAAGAGAGATGCTGAGAGTGAGAGAAAATGTATAGACATCTAACATGAAAATCGAAGTAGACATCTGAGAGAGGGAGAGAGATGGGGTGAATTAATCAAGAAGTGAGTGAAAAAGAGAAGAAGAAGAAGAAGAAGAAGAACTGTTATAATGTGATTATTATTATTCAACACTGAATTAAGAGGAGGGGGATTATGCTGAAAAATAAATAATAGACAGCTGATCGTTTCCGAGTATTCCTGTCTGCTCAGGGTGGCTAGCTAATCCCTATTGCAACGTCTGCTCAGGCACATCTGCGTTTGTTTAACACCCACAAAACTGAGCGGATTTTAGTTACAGTTTCTGTGAGAGATCATATAAGCTGTTGTGATCAACAGTCTGAACAAGGTTAGTATGTTCAAACTCTCGGTCACGATGACTTGTGATTTCGGGCTAACACAACGAATACATGCTTGGTTGAACCCGTGTTACAGGTATCATGTACTTTCCGACAGTGCCGCAAGGTGGGATCGTCTTCCGAGGCTGATATTATCAAAAAGTCATCGCCAAAAATCAACCTTGGTGAAATCCAGAACGCTAACGTTGTAACCATTAGGCTATGCGCCCACCAGATATATATATATATATATATATATATATATATATATATATATATATATATATATATATTATTTGTTGTGAAAAGAAATCTTAAAAACTTACTGATAAACGCCAATGCATTTATAAGAAGGGGTGCTGAATAATCTTCGGCTCTACCAAATAGGGGATTTTAATAGTCGGGCCGAGCCACTTTCAACATTCCTCGTATATATCAGCTATTTTCTCAGTTGACATTCCAGAATGACCCATGGCCTAATGGCAGTGGTATTGTATTCAGAGTTTTTTCTTCTCTACTGGTTACCTTACCAATGTTACAAACCCAGTCTACCCGACTATTTTATCCATAACAAGTCGAAGAGATTTATGTCTTTTCCATGGGCATTATTGTGAAATGAATGCTACAGTCTCGGCTGGAATTTGAAATCGGGTCGCCATTTTTTGTGTCGATAACCATTACGTCACATAGATATGGGAGAAGAAAAGAGAAAAGGTGTTAAAAGGAGAGAGAGAGATAAGGAAAAAGAACGATGAGAGAAAATATAGAATAAGGGAGAGAAAGAGAACTTCATTCAAATGAATCTATCTATCAATATCGGTCTTTATCTATCTATCTATCTATCTATCTATCATTCTACTCCTATCTTCCTATCTATCTATCTATCTATCTATCTATCTATCTATCTATAAGACATATTTACAAATAAAAGCGTTATGAAAATGAACGTAACAGAATTATGTAATTTTCAAAAACCTATTCATTCTTGTGAGAATTCATTTATCGTTTTTTATGCAATCCTCCCCACAAAAATTCAAGCTCGTTTTCTTTAAAACACTAGACTTTGTCTCATTAAAAAAACTTGTTGAGATGAAGCAGAGACATTAATGGCGACGATGGTGCGAGATCTCTCCGTATTTTTCGCGAGATCTGAACTCGTGTAAAGCTAAATAGTTTTAGTTGTATCGATTTTTCGACAGAGTTTAAAATCATTTAGCAAAAAGCACAAACGACAAAATGACGAAAGAAAACGTAAGAAAAACCAAAACAAAATAAGAGAACTTTGTTTTGTTTTACTGGAAAAAAAAAAACCCTGAAAAGTCAAAGAAAGTAAAAATGGCGCCTGATGCAAATGGCGGAAAGAATTAAATGTGAAAAAGGGAAGAGGATTTGGTTTTAAGGAAGAATCACATAAAAAAAGAGGGGGTGATTAAAGGCAGATTATTTGATAAATGGAGAGAAGGGTGGAGAGTTTAGTTGACAGAAAAGGAAGGAGAAATAAAAACCCATGAGCGAGCGAGAGAGAGAGAGAGAGAGAGAGAGAGAGACTTTACATATGAGGTGCTACCTAAAAGTTCGTGTAATTTGAACAGTATGTGTGAGCCGAATATAATATGGACATTTGCCGCTGCCTTTGTGAGCAGTACTCTTTGTGAGCCGGTCTGATGACTTAAAATGAAATGAGACTAATTCGAAGGAGACAGTGGAAACTTAAGTACTAGGGTATGGCTTGTTTTCTTTAAGATCATATACCCCTTCGCGTATGAACGGTGAAAAAAATGGAGACAAAAAAGTGAAAGGCATAGAGATAAAAAGAAAAGAGTAAGAGACTGAGAGAGAGAGAGAGAGAGAGAGAGAGAAAGTAAAACGTCAGAGAGAAAGGCAAATAAAAGAAACAGGGAGAGAAAGAAGGATAGAAAAAAGAGAGACATATAACCGGAGTGAAAGAAAGAAAGAGAGAGAGAGAGAGAGAGAGAGAGAGAGAGAGACATAGAAGGAGAAAGAAATAGAGAAAGAAAGAAAATTGAATAATGTTGGGGATGAGCGGTCAGTTTGATAAAAAGAAAGATGAGAGAAAGATATATATATATATATATATATATATATATATATATATATATATATATATATATAAAAAGAAGATTTAGAAAAGGAAGGAAAACGAAAAAAGAAAAAGGGAGCTAAAGAAAGAAGAATAAAAATGAGGAAAAGTCATATAAAAATACAAGGGATTTAATGGAATCCTTATTTTGGGCCAGAAAATAGATACCCGAGAGCACTCCAATATTTACGCTAAATAACATTCCGGTGTTCGGAAAGTAATTACGTATATTATCACACTATGAGTTATGAGTCAATCACCCAAGGTTGAATGGTAGAAAATTGCGCCTCGAATGAGTCTATCATCTCTTTTATCCGATAGTGTGTCGATTAGAGCGAATTTCACATTTTAACCCCAGGGAGGATTATAGATTTAAACATTATAATATTCGCCGTTGTTTACCGTATGAATTCCAGCAGGGTAGCAATGCTACAGTCATTTCTTTAGTACCTCAGACAAGGTGATAATGCCACTAAGACGCAAGGGGCTACTGGGAGTGAAAGCGAATGGGAAGGCTTTAGGAGGAACCGGAAACCCAATCCTAGAAAGAAAACAAGGGATAAACCTCTACTCCTGTTCAAAAGACCGAAGAGGACAGTGAACCGAATGATAGGCAAACTTATCTACTGCTATTGAGGAACAAATCAAATAGTAAATACAATTTCAGAGTTCAGGCGTAGACGTTAGAAGAATAGAATTGAAGAAGACTTTAGAAAGAACCGGAAACCTAATCCTAAATTGGAAGCAATGGATAAACCTCTCCTTAAAAAAAAACAAAAAAACTGGGAGGAGTGTGAACCGAATGATAAGCGAGCCTATCTACTCCTATTGAGGAAAAAATAAATAATAATTAGTAAATATAATTTCAGAGTTTAGCGGAGACGTTAGAAGAATAGAGTCGAAATAGCTGAACTAAAAGCAGCGGCAAGCAAAATGTTTACCTGTAAATGACAGGTTGCCATTATTTTCAGAGGTAAAAGTAGAAAGGAACGAATGTGGAAAGAAGGAATTTCAACATGGAAATATTTTCTTGTATGTTTATAAAAACTGATGAAGAATTGACAAAATCAGAAGAAATATATTAATGTGTACACAACTAAAAAAACAGAAAAAAACATTAAACTTATCTGTTAGGCAATTTTTGTGTGTCTATGTATGTATGTGTGTGTGTGTGTGTGTGTGTGTGTGTGTGTGTGTGTGTGTGTGTGTAAAAGTTCAGTCTTAAGTTTCCAAGAGAAAAAATATTGTCTCCAGGAAGGCCGAATCTCGTGCTGGTGTTTCTGCCTATCGCATGGTTGTTTTGAAAGGAGATAAAAGAGAAAGAGGAAGATATATAGTACTTAAACCGCGCCACCTAACGGTCTCCTGGCAGACCAAGTGATTCAGTGAACGTTTGTACATATAAGCTGTTGTTTAAAAGGGTTTTAAAATGGCCAATTCATCACCAACAAGGCCGTGTAGACTCTTTAGAATTTTGTCAAAATTGAAAAGGGACGAATGGCTAACTCCGGTCCAGATTTCCGTTTGATCTGGCTCTTGTAAAAAAAAAAAAAAATTACAAAGAACTGACCATTTTGTCAAAATCTTTTGCGGTGGCTCGTGTAAATGAGTTCCATTTGAGGTCTGAAGTGAATTTGAGTTCCAGTAGGCGTGTTCAGTTCAAGCACCTCCCTTGTAATGAGTAAAGGAACCTTTAAATTCAGAATGAGAGAAAGTTCGGAAGATTTAAATTCAAAATTGAATGTTTAGTAAAAACATGTTTAGTAAAATGCAATTTGATACGTTATAAATAATACAGATTTCTTTAAAATCAGCATTCAAGATAATAGCTTTTAACTGGGCTCGAACTGGTCAGCGAGAAATATGTAAGCATACGATCCACGATGTATACTCAACGCAAGTGGTATAAGCATAAAACAGAGTACTTCATGGTGCACTGGTTGCCATTTCCGTTCAGCAAAGAATTCGACATTGGCTGATTGATTTGTACAACCTCAGATTAGTTTGGGTTCGATTTTCTAAGAGAATTCTAGAAAGGAATTCTAGAAAGGAATATGACAAATATTTAAGACAATTTGGAAAAATTGTTTTGAAACGTTTCGGCGATGGATCGAGCTCATCAGAAATTTTACTTTTATTTCAACAAAATTTGCACTGTCGAAACAAAATGTGATTCCCATTCTACAGACGGACTCCAAGAATACCATAGACCAAACATGTAATCAATGGGAAAGTTCTAAAGAAAATCAAAAACTAGAAATCAGAGAGAGAGAGAGAGAGAGAGAGAGAGAGAGAGAGAGAGAGAGAGAGAGAGAGATAACTGAAATGTTTGGGGAACATTATGAGGAAGGACGCTTGGAAAACTTAATACACACAGGTCGTTTCGAGGTAAAAGGGGACTAGGGGGAAAGAGCGATGCAAAACAACGATAGATGGTACAGAATCAAAGATCGCTTAGAGCTACAAGGAATGGGACGTTGTGGAGAGAAATGATTGTCAACATCATGAGCAGACACGACATATAAATGAAGATGCATCTACAAATAATAAAAGTAACTAGTGTATTGTAGCTATGGATCATATTTACAATACCTCTCTTGTTTAGCTTCTTTTTTTTTATTAAAAAAAAAAAAATAGAAATATGACCACGAACTAAGGCGCTACGAACTTCTCCCAGCAGGAGATACCTGCTTTTAGTGGCAAACCTCTTTGACAACTTGTAAAACCATTTTAAAACTTATGCCTCAACCAGAAGTCGGAATAGTCTAAAACAACAAACACACACACACACACACACACACACACACACACACACACACACACAAATGTACTTTTAGCCATTATCAAGGATGATTATATTTTTACTTTTAGCTGAATGTGTATTGGATATATTACAACATGCCTAACAAGAAGACTCACGTTACATCTCTCCGACCATAGCTCAACTACGTCTTATTTAAATACACATGGAGACACTATGTACATTATTCGGACTATTGTCCTCATTTCTGTCACCATATTTATTACAACGTTTCGGCCGTTGTACGTTCCGGCCTTCTTCAGGTGGTTCGAATGTCGAACTGAACCATTTATTTCGCTCACTGGGGTAGACTGTTCTAGTTCCACGTGCCATGTTTTAAAGGATGTCAGTTGTGAGTTATCCACTGTGCCATGTGTCCTTGAGGACACATAGCAGAGTAGATAAAAGCGTTAGTTAGATCCAGTGACAGAACCCAAAGAGTGTCAGTTCAATACCCGGTTAAGGCAGTGGAGAACTTTCAGAGGGGAATTAACAGGAGATAACTAACATCGGATTAATTAAACGAGTCGTCGGCTTCTATTTTAGTTACGAATTTTTTTTTATCTTCGCTTTATTGTATTTTATATTATTTCAAGACTTTTGTTTTATTGCATCTCAGTATTAAAACTTTTTAACAATTGCTGTCATTTTTGGTGGCACGAGTGCTCTAGTATATATATATTTCAACAGATTTTATCTTAACATTAACAGCCGTATAAAATTACTTAGCTGTTTGTGTGTAACTTGAGACCCTTGAAGAACGACTAACTTCCCTCTCTGTTTGATTGATAAAAAATTCATGACGTTTCCACATGTTTATAGTGAAAACATAACTTTGAAAGTTGAACGATTTCAACGGAAGGGTACGATATAATAGAGCGTCTCCATTTTAAAAAAAATACGGAAGAATTTTATGGGAAATAATTTTTAGCATTCAACATAACTTCTTCAAGGCGCAACATTTGTCAAAATCGAAGTATACTGAATTTTTAAAATCATTTAAAATATTTATATATATATATATATATATATATATATATATATATATATATATATATATATATATATATAGACTCGTTTTGAAAAACCCTCGAATTTTGATTTGCTAATCAAATCAATCTCGAGGGAAAAAAGGTTTAAAAAAGAAAGAGCTACAAACATGGACTTCTGCCGACAAAAAAATCGCACAGATGCAGGTCTGAAGCCCAAAGAAAAACCCTGATACGAGTAACAACTAACTAACAAAAGAGCTCAATACAACTGTAGAGCAGACCTAGATACACCTAGTGAGCCAGACAGATCGTCAGGGAAAGTTTCTGACGATCCGTTTAGGTGAAACCTAGGTAGGTTTGTCTGGCTCACTAGGTGTATCTATATATATATATATATATATATATATATATATTTATATATATAGTCAATTGATGATACCCCCGACGAGTGAACGGAGTGATTCCAGGACGGTCCGTCTACGAAACTCACACAAAAGTTTTCATGTTTCAATACTATGACTGTACTTCCTCAGGCGATGCTAGATAACTTATGAAAGAAATAATTTCTTAGGGAAATTTAAAAACAAATCGTTACCTCTTTTTGGAAGTTAAGGCGGGTGGGGTCATAAGGTCAGAATTAAAAAAAGAAGAGGGGGGGTTCCTCTTCACAATATTAGCTATAATCATAATGTAAAATCCAGCCCTGCTATAAGGGATTGTTATCTGGAGCTGTTGTTCAGCGCACGAAAGCATTTGTTTTTACATAAAGATTTCTTTTAAATAAAGAACAAACGCTTATATATATTTTTAATTAAAGAACAAAAATTTATATAAATTAATAAAAGTATTTATATATAAGTTTATTTTTCATTTAATATAAACAATTCTTATCCTCCAATGTTTGTGTATGCGTCCCCCCCAAACACCACCCAACAAAAAAAAAGAAGATTTTTAAAAATGTTTAAAGATTTCAGAAAAGTTTTTAAAAATGCAGATATAAATAATATTTGTAAAGATTCAAACTTGACATTTATAAATATTCACCTGGCCTCTCCACAAAAGGCTGGGTGCGACACAATGTCGTTTTAACATGGGGAGCGCCATACGTATGCATATGGACCAAGGGCAAAAATTGTTTTGTTTTTTTTCCTCAACCCCTGCGACCACTGTCATGCTATCGGTATTACACCCACCCAGCCTCGAAGTAGGTGCTGTCGCAGAATTGGAATCCCCGGGGTTAAACTACTTCTTCCATCTAAAATGGGCAGAAACATAGCACCAATTACAGCACAGGGGGCGATAACCATGCCTCATTAAAATCTCATTGGCTAATAGTTAACTCCTGCGCCAGGTAAGCATTCACTTGACATTTGTAAATAACAGCTATGTTCAATAACTCTATAAAACGTCAGGGATCGAGTTTAAAATGTGTTGTTATTGTGAACAAGGCCCCCACTTCTCAATCGATAAAAAAAATTAACTTTTTTTTATTCTGATAAATGTCTTAAAAGTTACGAGACATAGCCGTTATTTACAAATGTCATTTTTTTTTTATTTAAAAGAAATCTTTTTGCAAAATATGTCTTCGTATGCCGAGCAACTATGTCCAGATTAACTCAGTTTATAAATTTGATTCTTGACTGTTTACTATATCTTTACTTGAGTAATGTCTAATGAATGATAATCTATAAAAATTACTTCCCGAAAAATTTTCCCCGTTTTTTTTTTATTTTTTTTTTTTTTTACAAGTGGACCAATATACTTAAGTAGTGCCGAAAATCCATTTATTTAGGTCAGGAAGTAAATCGGTCCATGCGTGAACATTAGTTTATCATCGCTGCCATTTGTATGCAATCGACAAAAAGACGCACAAGGTTCACTTCATTTAACGATTACTTAAATGAATATAGAAGAAATATTTACTTACGTTTTACTTTGAGGTAGAAATCAATCTTGGAAAAGGAAAACTGAATTCAAAAGAGGTTCGGACTCCGTTTGGCTGTCTTGCACAAAGCTTTCAGCTATTTCTAGAACTGCAGTGCATGGAGTGGTGCTCTTACGATCAAAATGGGTTTCGGCAATCAAGACGTGACGATTCCAAACCGCTACAAAATATTACTTTTGTGACGTACGGTGACCGTTAATAATTAAGTATAACTCAAAACTTGAATGTTAAGATAAAACAATATTTAATTACAACTGCAAATAAATACTAAACAAGAACAAAGAAGTAAAAGTCAACCAAAGATAATTAACCATTTCAGTGAATAATACCTTGTTAGTAGCGCGGCTCGGCTTAAAGTCTGGTAAATCCCGAATCAAAACCCAAATCGTTGACGCCCAATAATTCACACTAATTCGACTGGATAGTTCCACTCAATAATCACTGCAGTCAGTAGCCTGACATCGCTATTTATAGACCTGGCGGAAAACACATATTCATAAGTCCAGTGTCACGTTCGAACCTTGGTGTCGGTAGTTACTCATTTTCTTCCTCTATGAAAATTACCCACCGAGTGTCACTGCATTTCATTGTCTGACAATTGATGTATTCCGCTTCCATGTTTGTATTTGAACAACTGACCGAAAGTCGAGGTGATTGACTTCTAAGCAGGTTATTTCTTTGTAATCCAAACTCTTCAAGCCAGACTTTTCTCACGGTGTAGGCCATTAATTGACTACTTTATTTCCTGTCTCTTGCCTTCTCCGCTTAATCTGCCGCTAAAATAACTGGAAGTATTACAGACTCCTGCCATTTTCTGGACAGGATTGGTCGAATTGATATGAATTTATTAATAAACCAGAATCAGTAAAGAGAAAGATGTCTTCCGACCAGGAAGTACAGCAGTTCTTTTAAAAGCTGTTTGAAAACCTGACACCAATCCACGCATCTTGTGCAATGGATAATAAATTTACGTTACTGAAAATTTTCAGTGATGCAAATTTTAGAACAAATTCAGCAAACGGAGCTGGAAGTAGTAAAGGGAAAAAAAAACAAAGATCTACTTACAACCGGCTGATTTAAAAACTTACAACCTCAACGGCTATAACATATATATATATATATATATATATATATATATATATATATATATATATCAATTGATGATACCCCCGAGTGGACGGAGTACGGTCCGTCTACGAAACTCCACAAAAAGTTTTCATGTTTCAATACTATGACTGTACTTCCTCAGGCGATGCTAGGTAACTTATGATAAAAATATTTTCTTAGGGAAATTTAAAAACAAATCGTTACCTCTTTTTGGAAGTTAAGGCGGGTGGGGGCATAAGGTCAGAATTAAAAATATGCTTGTGGGTATGTCTAGTTTAACCAATTAAAAGTTAGATCTACGCTAAAATAGAAAAATAGGCTCAGAAGGTGGAGGTGGTTGGGTTATTTTTTATGTCATGATAAACTGATGTTTGGACATGGCATCAAACAATCGTAGAAAACATGGCGGCGACTGATGTATCATGGATGTAGCCAAATATGATGTTCCGGTTTGTTGAAGTAGACATGAAGTTATC